TAATCACTACAGGTGGAAGAGTTATGGAGGTATTGACAAATTAAGAAAATTTATTTATTTWTTTTTTTACAGCAAAACCTGGCAGTCAGAAATATCCTAATCATCAACAACAACAACAAAAAACAATTACTGAATGAGATAGATGGTCTTTAGGGTTAGCTCTTGTGTAGGATCTGTTTTGTTGTTAGGAAGCAGTGATCTTTTTTTTTTATCCTGGGAGAACGGTATGCTAGGTTCTAGATGGCATGCCATGGTTTGAAAGATGTCAGTACATCTCCAGTCCAAGTGAAAGAAAATTCTTATGGAAGACAGGCTCATGGGAGGAAATAAATATCAATCAGGTAGCTTTGTGGKTTTTTTTTTGTTTTGTTTTCTCACTGTTTGAGCAGTTCTTCTGCATCTCCTGTGTTCATCAAAGCAGTGGTATCTGCTGCTCAATTCCCAGTGCATCGGCATGGCTTTTTACCATTGCTTTTAAGAKAAAGTGGTTTGTTATTGCTGTATTTTGAGGTGTGGCAAATCTATCTTTTTGGTCAGATGACATTGTGATCTGTATGCTGTGTGCAGCAGTGCTAGTAATATTTCTGTAAGAGTGCAACCTAACAACTCAAAGAATATTTGTTATACCATTCTTAGAGGCTCTGAAGATTGGCCATGCTGAGTGTGTATCTGGATATTGATTTTGCACAGAATGAAATATAACACAGAATTGGTCTGTGGATAGGGAATATTAACAAGATTGTWTTCATGGAATCATAGAATCTTTATGGTTGGAAAAGACCTTTAAGATCATTGAGTCCRATTGTAGACCCTTCAACAYCATACCTGCTAAACCATGTCCCTAAGTGCCTCATCTACATGTTTCTTGAACATGGCCAGGGACAGTGACTCCACCATTTCTTTGGGCAGCCCRTTCCAATGCTTCACCACTCCTTCTGCATAGAATTTTTTCCTAATGTCTACCCTGAACCTCCCCTGGTACAACTCAATTTCATTTCCTCTCATCCTATCTGTAGTTATTCTGGGGAAGAGATTGACCTCTGCCTCACTACAGTCTCCTTTCAGGTAGTTGTAGAGAATGATAAGGTCTCTCCTGAGTCTCTTCATCTCCAGACTAAACAACTCCAGCTCCCTCAAGTGTTCCTTGTAAGGTCTGTGCTCCAGCCCCTTCACCAGCTTTGTTGCCCTTCGTTGGACACCTCCAGCACCTCCATGTCCTTTTCGTAGTGATGGGCCCAAAAACTGAATATAGTATTCAAGTTGAGGTCTCACAAGTATCGAGTACAGAGGGATGATCCCTTCCCTAGTTCTGCCGGTGGTACTACTCCTGATACAAGCTAGGAGGCTGCTGGCCTTCTTGGCCCCCTGAGCACATTGCTGGCTTGTGCTCAGCTGGCTGTCAACCAACTCTCACAGATCCTTCTCTGCCATGCAGCTCTTCAGCCACTCTGCCCCAARCCTTTAGTGCTGCATGGGGTTGTTGTGACTGAAGTGCAAGACCCAGCGCTTAGCTTTGTTGAACCTCATGCAGTTGGTCTCAGCTCTTCCATCCAGCCTGTCCAGATTCATTTGCAGAGCTTTCCTACCTCAAGTAGATCTACTCTTCCTCTCAGTGTGGCTTAGTCTTCAAATTTGCTGAGGGTGTATTCAGTCCCCTCATCCAGATCATTGATGATGGCCTGGCCATCCATCCAGTTTTTCACCTAGCAAAGAGTCTACCTATCTAAACCATGAGCTGCCTGATTCTCCAGGAGAAGGCASTGGGAGACTGCATCAGAGGCCTTACTAAAGTCTAAGTAGAGCATGTGCACAGCCTTGCCCTCATCCACTAGGCGGATCACCTGGTCAYAGAGGGAGATCAGGTTGCTGAGGCAGGACTTGCCTTTCGTGAATCCRTGTTGGCTACTCCTGTTCCAGCAGATCCCAAGTATGCAAGAGGGGAGTTGCCTCAGTAGCTGCAGTCCTTTGTATGTTGTGCCCTTGTGCAACTTTTCATTTCTGCATTCCTGATAAAAGCTTTTCAGTGAGTACCAGCTAGCACCACATCTATTGTTTTGAGTTGCTTTGAATATTGCTGGAAAAGAGTTTACTAAAGGATAGCTGGATTAAGACCATGGTGAAAGGAGAAAAAAAAAATTCAATGGTTTACAAGGGTCTGAGCTATAAATAGCTGCCTTTGTGAAGTTATCTGCCACTTTGAGAACTTCTCAATGTGTCATTTTCCTGTTGTAGACCTTAGCTTTTCATAACAGCAATGTCTGGCCTTAACTGACATGCTGAGCTCAGCTGCAGCCAGCCCAGCACCTGTGGGCTCTTGCGTGGATGACTAGTACTGCCTGCAGCATGATGCCCTCTTTCAGGATGAAGCTCTGTGGAAGTTCGCCTCAGATTGCACTTGCACTTCCTGAGACATCTCCCCTAGAATGCTTTTGCTCATGAACCAGATATGCATGACGTACCWGCTGAGACCAAGACCGACCTTGTGCCTAAATGTCTGAATTTGCAGTTGGTGGTGTTGTGACTGATCCTTTTGTCAGACAGCACACTTGGTTTACCTAGTGTGACTAACACAAGGAACACTTCTTCGTGACAGCATGAAGCAAATTCAGTCCCACAGAATACTTGTGTGTGTAGGTTTCCTGCTGGCCTGCTTCACGTCACCAAGGCAGCTTTCGAAAAGGCAGTAGCTAGTAYAGGAATTTCACTGGAAAAGAAGACTCCTGACTGGCCACGCGAGGGTCATCACGGCTCCAGTCACATCATGGTGAGGCATAGTGATCCAGAAACATCAGAAACAAGCAGAGGGAACCCCAGTCAGACTCTCTGGGACACGTTTTGTCCCTGATGCCTGGGGTCTGGGGTAGATGCTGTGCTGAAACCTTTCCCAATTATTTTGATCATCCAGAGAGCCTGGCTGGAGGCTCAGGGACCCCTTCAGGCTGCCTCTCCYGAGTTCAGTCAGGATGGTTGGTCTAATTTTTTATTTTTCTTTTAGGAGMTGTTGCATAACTGTAGGTCTACCTGTGTATAGAATGAGATGCTTTAATCCATAAATACTATAAAGGCTCACAGCTAATGATCCTGATGCCACGGGGCAGGCCCATCATGTGGTCAACTGGTCCCTCTAGCTCTGCCTCACTCCCAGGCAGTCTCCCTGGTCCCCCGGTTTCTCAGAGCCATTGTGGCTGCTGCCACTAGCTGTGTGTCCTCTCAGAAATATTGAAGTCTCTGTTGTTTTCCAGAGAAAGACTGAAATTAGGTGAGGGTTGAGAGACTTTATCAGYGTAGGGACAAACACACACATGACCAGTGTGTTGCAAGTGTCCCCAGAGCAAATGCTCTAAGCTCAGGGGATTCAGCTAAGGTTATTTCAATGTTTAAAAGCAATGTTTCTGTACATTACAGCATACAGAAGGAAGCATCAGTTCTTGGGAGAGAAAAAAAAAAAAAGTGTATGCACAATGTGGTGAGGACATTCGTCTCTTTGCTTTGAGCAGGTGAACCATGTCTGAAACTGAAAATTGGGAACAGAAGAACAAAGGCTCACACCACATCCCATGCCATTCAACCATTCAAAAAAGCTTTTCTAACTCCCATGAAAAACTCGCTGATTTCTCATAGAGTGAGTGTAGTACGTTTCAGGCATAACAAAGCAGTAAAATCTGTTAAAGTGTAAGCCTCAGCTCACCTCTCTCCTTAGCATTATGACTAGTGTCCCTCTAATTTAGAAACAATAATTATTTCACTTGGACCCACAACTATGAATCAGACCTCTATTTCYACCAGTGCATGTGCTGAAGCTCCTATATCTGCCTGTTTCGACTCTCTCAGATGCTGCCATTCTCAAACTTTGCTTTTATTGAATGCTTCAAAATCTGAAAAAGTCCTTCAGGGYAAGAAATTCCTTCTCCAGTATTTTTTGAACCCTACTATCACCCTTCTTAATGTAGACATTTATTTTGAAACTCTGGACTTTTTCCTTTTCCCAGCTTCTTCATTTTGAAATCTGCTCATCATTATTTCTGCAGATATTGCCAAAATTTATTCTTGCCTTGACCCTTCCTCAGGAGACCTGCTTACTCAGGGCTTAATCTCTTGCTGATTAATTTCCTCTCCTTCCTCTGTTTAGTGGCTTCCTAAATCCCTCTAGACAGATTGTGATCTTGGGACTAAATCAGGGACAACTCTCTTGGCATCTGGTAAATTCAGTGCAAAATGAAGAAGAATTGAGTTCCAGATTCTGACTGGAAAGGCTGTAGCTGAGAGATGGCTRGAGATTATTCTGAATATTTTCACTGGAATGTGATCTGCAAGAATTGCTTCTACACAAGTYGGCAGATAGTGTCTCTTCACTGCATTCCTGTTTTGTACATCCAGGAGAAAGATAATCTGGGATTTCAGTTCCATGGTTGTTTCCAAGTTTTCTGTTCATCTCAAATGAAGATGGAAATGTCTTTTTAATTTTTCTATCTGAAGATAGGTTTTTCTAGATAGTCCCAACTACTTGATACAGATTTGCTTTGGAGTTAAAGTCAAAACCGTGTCTGGTCATACTGCACTTATCAATATCTAAAGGCAACACAACTAATATTTTGGCACATCTCCATAGCCTTAACTTTCTAAATAAGCTAAGAATTAAAGCTGATTTTATCTGATTTCCTTTTCCTTACTTTTCTTGTTTGAAATATTTTCCCATTTATTTTAGTCTATGAGGAGCACAGTAAAATTTCTCCAGTAACATTATGCCAGTAACTGGCATTTCTTTTTTTCCTGTTCCCTGCCTGCAAGTTATTCTTGAAGCAATACATCTTCAGGCCACTAAGTGTCTCATCTGCGCATTTTACGTGGCTCCAATTAGCCCCGATTACATCTGTTCTATCTCATTTCCCTTGCTCCACCTTCCTAAAATTTGCTGCTACTTGACCTGAGCTGGGCGTTGCGGCGCCGGGCCAATGGCAGGTGCTGCGCAGTGCTTGTTTGCATTTATTTCCTGCTTTGCTGTGTGAGGTGCAGTCTTTTTGCAGGAACACAGGGAAAGCTGGAGAAGTGGAAATCTCTCTGAAGAGCTGGAGGGCTGAAATGGAAACTATATCATTCATTGGAGTAAGTAGAACAATGAAAAAGGGGAGAGAACAATCTTCGCTCCCTGAGAGCAAAATATCGGGTTATAATGTAGATCCGAAATGCTGCAGTCCTACTCTTGCTCAGAAATGCAAGCTGCCAGCTGGGTTCTGCAATACTCAAACTGCTTACAGTTAGTGTGTGCTTTTGCCTGTGTGCTCGGGGAGACTGGAAACTTATTCTTCATTGTGGCAGTTCACTTAATTCACATAAAAATGTTTCCTGTAATTACTGTGACATTAGTTAGTGGTTAATTAGGCTGTAGAAAATGTTTTAATTATGTCATCAGACATTCAGTAACCATGTTTCCCTCCTGGAACTGGGTGGCATTTGGCTCTCACCCGATGTCTAAGGCACTTGGAAGCGCCTGAAAGAGATCTGCATGTCCAAAGTGTACTTTGGATGTAGTCCTCACCTGGGAGAGATCCCACCCAATGTCACTGGCTTTCTGAGTTAGAACGTGTTGCTCCGTGTCAGAGATCTTCAGTTTATTTGTGAGTTTGCCTATTTTCCTGCTTGTTTATTGTTTATGTCCAAGGAGCATCCTCAAGGCTAGCTTAGTATCTGCACTGAGTCCGCTGGGACCAGGTTAGAAAGCAGTCACTAACTCTAGGAGTGAGGGTAGCGAATCATGGTAGCTACGCTGCACGGTGGAATGGCCTTTAGCTTCCCAGTATGGAAGATGGGAATAAAGACACAGTCCTCCTTTGCAGAGCTTGCAATTTACTCGTAAAAAGGGCTAAGCTATACTTGTAATTTCACCCCTCCAGGCAACTTTTAGTTTCTCCCTAAAAGATATGCTAAATTTGAAATGCAAGATAGTAAATCAGTTTGGAAATTGTGAGGAGAGGATCTGAAGTTTGTGGTACACAAGGRATGAGACCAAATTTAATTGAGTCAGTTCTGCATAAGACTTGATAAACAACAGCTCTGTGTACCCTGGCTGTTCCGCCAGTGCATTACCTACTTACATTACACCAAGCTGAGAAGGAAGCTGGGAAGAGCAGGAAGCTCCTGCATTTCTGTCTTGTCAGGTCTGGCCTTGCAGAAAGTTCTTGCCATTTCTGCTCTGGGCTGGTTCTCCCAGGCTTGGCAAGATGCTCCTTGTGCTCCTCAGTAAAGATTTGGTGCCTACGTGAGTTGTCCCGGTCCCACAGAGGTCAGGACAGTGACAGAGGCTTGGACCTGCTGAGAACCTGCTTTGGGTGGATTTTGGCCTGGTAGTGCAGAAGGGTCAGTTTTACCACCTGGCAAAGCTGATCTTGTTTCCAAAAGGGATTCCTCCCTACTGAGTCATCCCCAGCATGGGCCAGTCCTGGGGCCTTCCTAACTGGGTGATGAAATAGTACAAGAGACACATAAATGCCCTTAAAAACGAGTATTATTTTTTTCCTGTAGTAGTAGTAACAGTTAGTTTAGGCTCTCTGAACTGGCTTACTGGAGGAAACCAATGCTGGATGAAGAGGAAGGGCAAAGCGGTGCTTTATAAAGGTGCCCTTGGAGCTTTGCCCATGCAAAGTGGCTCATCCCAGCACTCCTGGCCAGCAGGGCTTACTGGGCACCCTCTGAGAGGCTGCATACCTGCTCTGGGGCATGTGGCTGGTTTTGGGGAATGGGAATGAGGAAGCCTCAAAGCCTCTGGAAAGGGAGCTGTCGGTTGCAAGAGGAGAACTGAAATAAAACAAAACAAACAAACAAAACCCAGTGTTTGTAATTAAGCTTCTAATCAGCATGCAACACCTACGTAAATGCTCTCACATGCTGGAATATCGCATTCTCACACTTCCTGATGGCTTTATAGCCGGGAGAGGCAAAAGACAATCTGTCCTTCCACAAATCCTAAGTAGCAATAATGTTTTAAGCTTATACAGCCCATCTCTGCACTGATACTACCTGGTACATAGGTTAGAGCAGAATAGTCCTGGGAGAAGGGTGCTGTGTGGTCAGAAGGACCACAAAATATACAAAAAAGAGAGAAGATTAGTGTCAGGCCTCTCTTGTCAGAGCAAGGGGTCTTCAAAAGACAAAAGAAACCTGGCACATTAGATTTCAGAGTTAGAAGAAGGCTGAGCTGATCTACCTGCGATTTGAACCTGTGTTCCCAAGAAGAGTAAGTGTAAGCATAAGAAGTTACGTGTAAATATATTTATCCTTTATAAAGAGATAACACCTGCTTTGTTTATTTGTTCAAATAAATCCATGGCATTTTTTTTCCACTGGGCTTTACATTAGGCCCATCACAGATCTGCTGTTTAGCGAGCAAGAGGTGGTGTAAGCTTCCTTCGTGCCTATGTAGTGGACCTGTGCATGTGGATAACCTCCGAGCTGGCTGTGGTTCACCAGGAGGAAACCCCCAGGTTACACCCAGGACATGGGCAGCATGTGTCATGCACATGCAGCATGAGGAATGTCTCCATGTCACAGGCACCGCATATTGTGGTACAGTTGAAATATTGCCAGAGGGTGTTAGAACTTGTAGCTGCTTATCTTAGTAAAGGCTTAGTAAAGATGGGAGAGCTGGCAGGGACAACAGGCTAACTATTTCTGCTATTACTTGTTGTCCCTGTTGTAGTTGTAGTGTTGTAGTCGCTAGTGGTTGTCTCAGTAAGATGGAGATAGACGCTGTGGTCCAGAGAGTGCTCCTGCAAGCTGATAGCAGGGCAGAAGCCTGTATGTCCTTGAACAACATTGCATGTTGCATATATTTGGCCGCTTTGTTGTAGAATCTTTCACATAGGGTAGTAAGCACAAGTACATTGGGGTGATGAGGACTTAGYTTCTGCTCTGGAGCTTCCAACTGACCTCAGCAAGGGGTTATATTCACTTGGTCAAAGGCAACTTTCAGTTTCTMTAGCTTTGCCCTGAGCACTCACTCCTCCAACAGGCAGTATGCGCTAGTTAATGTTGAAGAGAGGTAAATAGAAGCATGTTGTAGAATTGTAGAATTTTTCGATCAAGTAGTTTCAGTTTCAAATTCTTGCACTAATCAGTGTTAGATTCTCTTTGGTCCTGCTGAGTTTCCTTGAGGCTGAGCTAGTGTTGTCATGTGCGCAAAGAAAGTGTTTCCAGGAGATGGAGTTGGGTGGTCATTGTGGCCTAGATAAAAAGAGTATTTTCAATGCTTTTTGGAACTCTAGWCTCTATTGCCTTTGCAACACCTTCTACAACACCACTGGTGTCACAGAATCACTGCAGCACAGATCTTTCAAACTGGGATTCCCTCAGTAAATGGTTCTTTCTTTGAAGTTTTAAGCAAGTTTTTTTTTTTTTTTTTTCCTTCGGTCTGCCTACTACCAGCAAGTCTCGTTGCCTTCAGGACATGACTCTTAACCTGTAAGCAAGGCAGCTGGATATTTCCCTCAGTCTACATGATCCCATTTTTATCTTAACTGGGGTAGTTGTACTTAGAGAGACCAGAGACAAGGTGGACTGGATGGTTGATGCTGCACACTGTCAGATATAAAAGCACATTGCATCTGTTCCATGCAATACACCCATAAAACTTAGCAAAGCAGTTCCTAAAGTTGCCTTTCAGATGATCCAGTGTGATTGCCACAAAAATCCTTAACATTGCATTGAAGAAAACCACAGACTGTTCGTCTAAATGGTATGGTCCTTTTCCAAACCGGAAATACTAACTAATTCAAAAGCAGCCCAAAGAAAAATTTGGAAAGAAGCAATCTTAGAAATGAATACGTTGAGATGCAACATACTCATGGGACCTATCAGGAAGTTTGGTGCCCATGTAATACACAACTGACAGCTGTCTCTGTAGCAAACAAGAATGAGACATTCTCTGTGCCATCTTTAAAAAGGAAGGTGTGTTATTATTATTGGTAATTGTTGTATCAGTTGAGAGAAAACAGAGAAACCCTTCAAATCACTGAAAAAGTGGAGGATCATCACCTTCCAAAACACTGCTGGGACTTCAACAATATCCCAGAAAGAAAATATAGCATTGAGGACAGTTTGTCTTCCTGTTATGTGCCATTCAGGAGAACATAAAGTGAAAAATGAGCATTGTGGTTTAAGCAGACCATGTTGAAGACCATGATTTCTCAGCGAGATTTCACCTACTTGGACTTCTGACTCACAGTTGCCAATTTTACAGAAAATCCTGTAGACAAATTGGAGAGATCCCAGAGTAGTTTTTAGGAAGATCTAACCAAACTAAAGTATATTTGAACATGGGCCTGCACTCAGTAATGGTGTAGAGGATAGGTATCAAGAAATTTTCTCAAAGGAAAGAGATGTTATAGCTTCAGGAGAATAAGATAACTGACATTTTCCTCCTTGACCCCGTGGAAATGCTGTATCCTGTAGAATTTCTCAAGACTTTCCACAGGGCTTTGCTGTAGCAGCTGAACTGATGGTTCAATGTGAACTGGGGCCCTGAACACTGCCCTAGTCCTGCCATGAGTCCCACTGAATCTGGGAATGGACACCACTTCACACTGGAAGGAGGCTACTCTGTGCAGTGTCACAATAACCGATGTAGGTAGTGATTTCTCCACAACACCCAAGCTGTGCATACTGGACTGTGTTTTTCTTTCAGATAGCCATTTTTCAAGCTGAATACTGGAATGTGGCTTTGGTGGTGTGTTGTATTTTCAAAAGCAATGTGTTTTGTAACTGAAAAGTATCTAAATTACATTTTGCTATAACAGCTTGAGCAAAGGGTTCACCTTTTATATCATGTATAAATACATTCTGTCYATGAAGAAAGGTATAAATTCAACTATAATACATGGAATGTTTTAATATTTTTCTTCTTTTTCCTCCAGAACATCCTATGAAGTCTTAATTAAGATAAATACTAATGGAAGGTACTTTTCAAACGTCCATTCACCTGTGCCATGAAAATGGTCAATGGATGTCACAATTACCAGAAAGTCTCTGGGATATTCCCCTCTACAACTTATCTCTTCCAGGTAAAGTTTAACTTTTGTTCTCTGCTGTCCTATTAACACATTGCTTAAGCAGGGAAACATCCTGTTTGTTCTACTTCAGGATGGCTGTATTTGCTATTTGGGTCAGTGTGTGGGAGAAGCATTTGGGGGAGTGTTTGTGTGACATGTGTATATATGAAAGTATTTTCAATCTGTATTTGTTTTTCTTGATATGCAGGTGAAAAAGGATTTTTTGAGGGAAAGAAAAGGGGATTTTAAAAGATATTGTGCATCATCTTGTCAGACYAGTGTTAATAAACTGGACACTTATCCATGTTGGCCTTGGTGGCTTTGCTCTTATGTGGCTGCTATTCAATACATACCAAAATGGTTCCTAAAGGAGAGAATTTTTACTTTCTTATTTGTTTCTTTATAGAGTTTAAAAGAAACTGRAAAGGTATGAAAGAAAATCAAGATGGAACTTTTAATTAGTGTGGGTTTTTTWAAAAAAATTTTAACTTAATTGTGCGGTTACTGTTTCTGAAAAATGCATTTAACCTAGTATTAATATTTAACCTAGTATTAATACTAGGTTACTAATACTACTAATACTAATATAAATACTATGGTAGCCAGTGGCCTCATTGGTACTACTCTCAGACTTAAGCACCATTCACYTTTCTTTGGTTATATTATTGGATTATGTGGTTCTCTTTATTACCTTGAACTGAATTTGTTTCTTATTCTGTATGAAGAAATTACAAGAGAACCTGTTTGTGCGTGGAAAGACGCTGAAGAATTGTTGTCTCTCAAGTTATTCGCTTTGCTAACTTCCACAGTGCAGATGGGTTATCACTACTTAATAAAAGACCTAGCCCAAATTTTCTTCTGCACCTTTAGATGAGGATAATTTGAGTGGGAAGCAGCACCRCATGTAGATGGGTGTTTGTGTAGGTGACTGGTTGTGAAATTACAGGCAAGATCCTTGGCTAACTTCAGCAAAGATATATTTGTGGAAAAATCGAGTCTTGTCTTGAGTGGGTCTCCTGGGAAGACCAGAGAACTGAGCTCTTCATGGACTGCTTTTCTGCTCTTTGTGGACAATGGAGGGAAATTAAAAACAGAATCTTATCGTATTTTGTCAGAGGATTAATTTTAATGGATGTTAAACATCGAAACAAGTGGACCTCTCAGTTGATGAAATTACAAAAGGGGACAAGGTGGATAGACTTCCAACTCTTCAGTTTGGTGGAGATAAGTATTAGTTTGTGGTAAAGCCTCTGTAAGGATACTCATGTACAGATAGGATAAATAGAAGCTAGATTTTGTATTTAACTAACAAGAGCAGAAAAGAAATATATATTTCTACATRTGACAAAAATAAAAATCTGGTTTTCCTCTTTTTTTAGTTCCTCTTGCAAAAAAAATCTTTAAAAGTTAATAGTGTGCTCAGTGTTTTTGTAGCAGAAAAGGATCTATGTCATTTCTAAAGAGCTTTTAAACTCGCTTTCACATATTGTTTCCTGGATGCTGAAAGATGTAGAAGCTGAAAGCCTGCTGATGTGTACCTTGGGCTGATTTCCTACCTCTCTTCATAACAACGAGCTTTTTCTCATGAACAAATTATTTCTCAAATATTTATGTGTTGAATATTTGCTTGTTTTGAAATGGGATATCTGCTTAATTTGCAAGTTGTGTGTTGTTCTGGTTCTTGGAGTGTTTTCTGAATTGGCCTTGTTTAAAGCTACAGGAGGTTGAATGGAGATTAGGTAGGAAGGAGAAGCATAGTTGAAGGCAAGCCAATTTTCTGTAGCACTCAGGGGACTTTTACAGAGCACTGCAGGCCACTTAGCTTGAAATATTTATTGCCTTTCCAGCTGACCTATAAAACTGGTTTGGCCCAAGTCAGACCAAACCAGATCAAGACCAACCAGGTCTGGACAGCTCCAGCAGGTTTTTGGAGGGAGCAATGTTGGGAAGCCCCGTTTGGAAATGGAGGTTACTCACATCCTTGCAGAAGCCAAGCCTGCCCTTCTCATCCTCAGGAAGTGGGAAAGGCATCACATTCCAGAGTGAGTCCTGGAGGGGGATGCCAGGCTCTGTATCTCAGAACAGAGAGGACAACAGGGCTTACAAGAAAGTTGGGAAAGACAGAGGCAAACCCCTATCATTAATACTGTATTGCACCAGACCCTGTCCCTGTGTGGCCAAAGCAATGCTCTTCTCTGAAGCTGCCTGGTTCCTCTTTCTTCTTGTGTTGTGTTGCGTGGCGTTGTGGATATACCCTTCTTCCTTTTATTGTTGCAATTCACAGAACAGATTCCTAAATTAAAGGTTACTATCGATAGGCTGATTGGCAGCAGTAGATGCAACATCCATTGATGGAATCCTGTTAACTCCTCTCATGGTTGGATTTGGTCCATTGGTATTTAATGATTTGACTCTCAACTTCTAAAACAAAGTTCTTTGTTTGAATTGAATGATTGTTGCTTTGAAGGGCAACAATCTCTGTTTGGCCTTTAAACATGAAATTAGACATAAATTAAAGTTTAAAAAAAGGACCCATCTCCCCCTCCCCCCCCCAAAAAAAAAAAAAAAAGATCAAGCCATTAAAGTTTATTGACTGCTTCATATAATTTTATTTTTCAAATACTATCTTGCTCTTTTCTTTTGACTGGAAGTATTGTCATTGGGAACAGTTAGACCCACCTTTCAACAAGGCAGTTCCAGGCATCAGTGAACAATTTGTTTGTCAGAAAGCTTAAAAAACAGATGATATGCAAATTCTCTACAGATACTCCATCAAAATTCCAGTATATCACCTCATGCGTATTATCTTTTCTTACTGATGCTTTACAAAATCTCAAGAAATAATGGAAAAAAATGCCAGCAAAGTCGCCAGCTGCCTGTCCTGAAGAAACTGTGATCTGCAGCAGAAATTCGATTAAATATAAGAAATGCATAAAATTTTGTAAGGTTTCTTTTGAAGTCTGAAGTTTTCCTAGGCTATGCTCTGCTTAATTCTGATATTTCACCTGCCCCCAATATGTTTTGGACAAGTGATGAAGCAATATTCAGCACAGTTCCCTGTGCTGGAAAGAGTCAGATAATTCTGAAGTCCACCAAAAATTAGATTCTATTCATTTATTGCATATAAACTTACCCTGTATTTTTGTTTGAAAGCTTTGCATTGGCAGTGTAAGGGATGTGGGTTTTTGCTCCAGGAGAGCATTTTTTTCTGGGCATGTAWAATACAAATGCTCGAAGTACCAAGTTAGATGGAGCTGGTCCAGTCAAAAGTGTAAGAAGATGAATTTCACACTTTACTCCTAGTTCTGTGTATCTTCTTGTGCAAAAATGCTGGGCTTGGAGTATGAAATCCTGCATTTGAACAACTTTGGAATCTGAGCAAATTCTCGACTGGTTCAATCTTCAGCTGTTTGTTCCTGGTAAAAGTGAGTTCAYGTCAAGGTAATTGTTTCAGTGGAGGATACTAGTTTGAAGAGGCCATTTTAATACAGTTTGTTGAGGCAAATCTCAGTGCCCTTCTTTCACTAGGATCTTACACTAAGCYCTTAATGCCAAGTGAGTGGTTTCTGCAGAAAAGCCTACCTCTTCACCACAASTAATTATGCTGTTAGGCAATATATTTGCATGTTTTGGTAATCAGGTAGCAGGCCAAGTGTGTGCAGGCAATATGACTGTGTATCGAGGTGTTGAGTTTTTTAGGGTGGACATTAACTACACATTTATTTTTGCATTCTACAGGGAGTCATGACACTATGACCTACTGTTTGGATAAAACCTCTGCTGTTAGTGACAATGAATCGAAGCTGGTGAATCTTTTAAATAAATGTATGCCCTGCATTGTACATCCCATTATTATGAAGTGGTCCACAACGCAGGTAACTATTGTCTGGCATTTGTGCTGCAGTAATGAAAGGGGTCAGGTTCTTCTTTTGTGGGCAAATAGATGAAGATGTTTAAAATTGGCCTCTTGCACTTAGAAACTAATGTTCTGTCATGTTTATTGTTGCTATAAGTAACATTTAATACTGCTATATTTAAAAGAGTTTAGACGTAAAAGGGCTTTTCTCTTTTCTTTAGCTTTATTCCTAAGTTAGTATCTGTCRTTGTTGCTATCAGTATTGTGTAAGAAATCAGCTGTTTTCATCTGCTTTATTACATATCTCAGACAGCACTACTGACAAAATTGCTGTTTGAAATATTTTCTTTTTCCTTAAAAATTAAAGGATTTTGTGGAACCCCACATCCATTTTTCATTCATTCTTTTAAGAATTATTACATTTATTCATTTTTTAAAGAATTATTACATTCAATTCATTTTTTTAAGAATTATTACATTTAAAAAGTTAGTAATTATCTCTTTCTGTTCCTCACAAGTGTATTGTTAAAGACAGAATTGGAGAATCACAATTTGAACTAGAGCTTTTGAAGATATTTCTAAAGAGCAGGGGCTTTTGAAGATTTTTCTAAAGAACAGACTTTCAGGGCATCAAAGAAGTACCAAAAACCTATTGAAGAAACAGTTCATTATTAGTGAATTAAAATAGAATAATTGATAAACAGCAATAATTATACATAACCTTGTTGTGTTGTATTTGAGCAGCCCTTGTGTCTTAGACACCATGACATATCAAACATGTAGCAGCAGCAATCAGCTGAAATGGAGTGGAGCTCTTATCATAGTGTCTTCCCTTGAACTGCTGTTTGCTTTGTGGCTTAAACTAATGAAGGATTTAGACATGCGCTGACTTGCGGGTTGCGGGCTGATAAAGTGACCTTGATGCAGACAAACAAGGTCCTTAYACCACTACAATCATTTTCTGCTCTGAACCCAACTTGCTGAGCTGGAAACGGCACAACACTGGCTGGGGAAAGGCAGGACTGTGATCCCTCCCCTCCTTAGCACTTTGTTGCTTAGTTGTGTTGGCGAGAAGATCTTTCCATCCATTGCTAGCCAGACCAAAGATCCAGGAATCCTTCCTGTGCCAGGATCCACRAATTCTTGGAGTCCCAATTTCTAGGCAATGATTAGATGCAGATCTGACTCTCTCTTGTGTTATTCTAGCAGTGCAAATCTTTTACATACAGTGGCTATTGTGTTAGATTTTCGAGGCAAATTTCCAGCTTTCACACTTGCCCTAAGTATCTGACATGAGATCCAGCACTATCACTGCATCCAGCAGTATCACCATATCCAGCAGTATYACTGCCTAAAGCCTTTTCTTAAATTTGGTCCTGGGAGGGTAGTCTTGCTGTTTAGTTTAGCATCTAAAATCAGGTGACTAATTAAGGAGTCTGATCTCTCTAGTTATCTCATGAAGTCAACAGAAAGACAGAAATGTGTCCAAAGGGCAATTCAGGGCAGGTGATTAGTCTGGTGTCTGAATGTCCTGGGGAGAARCCTTCCTCGCTTTGTCTATCAGACCCTTTCTTTCTCCCTGCCGTGGTTGCAAAGGTTAATGCAGGTGCACAGAGCGCTGCGGTGCTCGCAGCGCAGAAGTGGGCTTGGGCATGGATCGCTCCTGCAGCTGCTCCGGCCTGAAGGAGCGAGGGCAGGGCCAGGCTGGCCTGTGCACCTTCAGCACCTGAGCTCTGAGGCGCGTGGGGCTGCACCCCGYTCTGCTGTGGGGCACGGCCTCGGGAGGTGAAATTCCCCAAATCCTAAGAATAGAGAGCCAGCTTGGTTTAAGTTAAGCAGGGTGAGCATCCTTCAGGGTATCTACGCACTGTGTTGGCACTRATGCTTAGAATGTGAATGTTTAGGCTCAGTATCTTGTCTTGATTTGGTTGTAGCTGAATCCTTGCTGACTTAAAGCCTTGTACTCAATGAATCCTTCCTTAAAGGGTTGTCCATACAAGCAGAGTGAATCGAGACAAATTAGTTTTTAAACATATTACATTGATTCTGCTTTCTTGCGCAAAGAGATCCTTGATTATAAATAAGAGATATATCATTTGGGACACTTTGTCTTAGAAGCCCGCTGTTCCATCCATTCCTTTCAACCCTCACAGCAAATAGGATGGACCTAAGGCAAAGTTAAATAGAAGAGGACTTCTATTCTACAGGACTTAGAGAGCCTTTTTTTTTTTTTTTTTTTTTGAAAAAGAATGACAGCCAATACTTTTTTTCCATTTTTGTTTTTCCTTTTGCTGAGAAACAGCTCCACAGAGAAAACCACTCTAAAGTCTTTGATCTAGAAAAATAAATACAGTATTTCTAAGATACGCTGATCCTGCAATTTCTCTTTGTAATAATAGTCTTGTGAGCAATGATTGTCTGTTTATGCACAGGTTAATGGATCTTAAGCTTTCAGAACACAACAAATGCGGAGGTCTGAATTGAATCTAATCTTTATCTGGGGCATATTCCYCATGGAAATTAGAATCCATCTTGTCAGATAGTACAAGAATTCAGAGCTACCACTTGGTGCCATGAAGCATCATTTTAAAGTTGAAAGACCTATGGAAAAACTGTCACAGAGCTAACTTTGCATCTTTCTTTCAGTTTCTAAAATAAAGGACCATATCTCTTCCAAACTGTCCGGATCTTTGTTTTTTGTTTTACCATTCAGGAGCTGAGTGTGACAGAGCAACTCGAGGCTGGAGTTAGATATTTGGATTTGAGGATTGCCCACAAAGCTAATGACCCATCTATGAATTTGTACTTCGTGCATATGCTTTATACAACTGTTACGGTTCAGGTATTGTCCTTATCTGTGGAATAAAGGCTATAAAAGTGGTGCTTCCTTTACTTAAAAAGAGAACATCCAGGAATGCTGGCCCAAGATCGGGTATTTATTTTCCTAATGTGAGGACTTGAAAGAAGAGGSTATCTGCAGGGCTGGTTATTGAACTGGAAGTTAGTTTCAGTGCTTGCCAGTAACATTTCAGCACCAGCCAATTTATCATCCTCAAGCAGGATCATCTATCAGCCATTCACCAAGTGCCTGATGTTTGTCTCGTGCTGTCCTGGGAAGCTACCTGGGGCAATCCTGTTTCTCCAGCATAGAGAGAAGTTACTAAAAAGAAGATACTAAAAGCCTAATGAAATCACAGCAACTCTTTCTTGTAAAGTAAAAAGGCAGCTAGTGCAGCTTTTGACTTGTAGGATAAATGGCTAAACCTCAGTTTTATGATTGCAAGTCTGAACCTTTGGTATCTTAATATTTCATGCTGATTGGCATGAAATGTCAATGTCAGTGGCTAATTGCATGTCATCTACAAGATCTCATTGCCTGGAACAAACAGAGAAACGGGCCCTTGCCTGATTAAGCAAGCACAGGTCGCTTCCCACTTTCTAGATTTGCCACTAACAAAGATTGAAAGGATTGGGAGGATGTGTTTATTGCTAACCTGCCCCTCTGAAGTAAGAGATTGATGGATGTTATCAAAATGCAAAGCCACTGAATATATGAGGAAGAATTCATGCCCAGAGCCAATAGGTACTGGTTTGCAGAAAGTAATTTCTCCTGGCATGTGTTTCTAGGACTAGTGTGGGCTGCCAGACAGCTGTTTTCCAAAACCCTACACAAATTTTTATTACTGTGGTTCTGACCTATTGTAAGTGCTCAGCTTGTTTTACTTCCTTTCTCTTGCATATTACAGAATATTTTCTTAGTTGCCATGATTCTCTTTTGTAGGATATCCTGTGTGAAGTCTTGAGGTGGTTGGAATCTCATCCCCAGGAAGTTATTATCTTAGCATGCAGGAATTTTGATGGATTAACTAGGAGTCTTCACTGTCATCTTGTTGCCCGTATAAAAGAGATTTTTCAGTGTAAGCTGTGTCCAAGAAATGTAAGTGTGAGATCTTTTTTTCTCCCTTTTTATTTTAAGGTTGGTATAATACATTATGGTGAGATATTTAACTGATTCAGAATCTTTATATATTTTTTATCTTCAAGTTATGCTTGCTGGATCAGAGAGAAAGTCTTTACTTAATAAGTGGCCTTCCTCAGATGACTCTGGGATGTCACTTGCTCACTTGAAGTAGGAGATGAAACAAACCCACACACCCCGGTGTGGAGAAGGGATCAACTGACTTGTAGTAAAAGGGACAAAACTGCCATCCACTGTCCTCTCCTAGTTTTGCAAAAAAAAAAAAAAAAAAAAAAAAAAGTTAAGTGCCATGGAAAGTTTCCATGAAAATTGAATTTGGTCCCGGCTGCAGCAGACTCCCTTGCTTTGTTGATAGGATTCAAAACAATGTCTATTCAATCTTGTCACAGCAGTACTTAACTACAATGGTGTTTAGCCATTTAGAATAATTTAGGTTGGAAGTGATTGCTGCAAGTCCTTTGATCCAACCCCACCATGCAGAGCAAACACAAACGACTCCAAGGATGGAGGTTCTGCTCCCKCTCCGGGCAGCCTGGTGCACTGTTTGACCACTTGCTCAGAGAAGGGACCGCTGTCATACATCTAATCAGATTTCTCTTGGTCCAGCTTAGGTCTGTTGCCTTTCATCTTTTTGCTGTGCATCCCTGAGAAGAATCTGCTTCTATCAGATGTTAGATGCCCACCCATCTATATTTACAGACAGCAGTGAGGTCAGTCCACASTTGTCTTCAGGCTGAACAGACCCTTTTCTAACAGCTTATCCTCAGATGTTGTGCTCTAGCCCCAGTCACCCTGGCTGCCTGCCACRGGACTTTCTCCAGTGTGTCAATGGAGTTAACATTTTGGAGTAACATTTCTTTTTGTGATGGGAAAGCCCAAACAAGACACAGCACTCGAGAGCTGGTATCTCAAATGTAGAAGAGAAGTATAGAATTATTTCTCTTGACCTATTGTGTGAGCCCATACWAACATGGCTCAGTTTGCCCGTGGTCTTTTCCACAAGGGCATATTGCTGCCCAGTATTTGACTTGTCTGTCACGAGCTCTAAGCCCTTTTTGGCAGAGCTGCTTTCTGGCTACTTGCCCCTTTTCGTTCAGTGCTGGACTAAGYGTGCACCATAAGCTGCAGCAGCGTGTTCTGCACATTGCTGGGTCCATGTGGGCCGCCTGCATGCTCAGAGAGGCAGCAGGGAAAGGAGAGGGTCAGTCTCTGCTTTCTGGTTCAGCATCTCTCCACTGYGGCTGCCAGCAAGGTACTAATAGGTACCAAGGTGTTCGTGCCACAGCTGTGTGTTCACTATTTGAGAAGGGGCTGAGAACACGTGTTGTTGTCACACAGCCACTGCATTGGTGGCACTCACTTTACTGTGCTTCAGCTGGAGCTGACCTTCCAGACAGCCTAATGTGCTGAAACCTGCGGCCGAGTCCTAATATAAATAATCAAAACTTATTTGTTAAATTCTAGGAACTTAATCTTCCTCTCTGTACCATGTGTGGGAGCTTTTAGCAGTTAAACAATTAACATTTCAAAGACGTACAGGAACAGAGAGTTTTCTCCGGAGATGCGAGGGGTGCGGGATAATGATGACCTTGTTTGCGATTCGAATTAAGCCTTTGAAGCTAGCGTATCAGTCAGGGGCTCAGCATTACCATTTCAAAGCACTTTGTACAGCAGAGTTAAAATAGAACAATTCTCGGCAAAATTGGAGGATTCTGATTTAAATTTKCATTTAGACACAGGGTGAGCTCTAAAAATTCCTCATTGTAAAAGGGCCAAGCTCTTGCCGAGAGTTTGCTCAACAGAGGTGATAACAAGTGGTTTGACGTGACCTGCCCGTAGAAAGGAGCCTGATTCTGAGTGGTGCCCAAAGGGAGGGAGGGAGGGCACTGCAGAAAAGCCCATTTTTTTCCTCAAACTTGAAGACTATGTATTTGAAGAGGGCAGGAGGGTGCCTGTGAGCAACACACTGAATCTTGCCATATTGCTAAGTGATGACTTTTGAGCATTTGGCAGCAATTGAGTTTTTCAGAATCACAGCTATTCCACCTGTTCTACCTCAAATCCCATGTATTCTACCTCAAATACCATCTACTTGTTCACTGTTTTTAAAAATATCCTGATGGCATTCAAGCCCACAGCTTCAGTGTTGTGCGAAAGCATCTGCGAGGTGTTGTTGCAAACCACCCTCTCTATGTAGTACTGGTAGAGGCCACAGTGTGACAATATTACATTGTGTTCAAAATTTTAATTGCCTTGACTGTTCAAGTCCTTTGATCTGGATTATTAGGGCTTAAAATCYCTTGTCAAACATCTACAGTTTCATTTCCGTTTTCTTCGCAAAATAAGCGCTTATGATCATGTATCCATTTCTGGTAGCTTTTCTGGCAGGGAGCCTCTCACCTCCTTTTTTGCCCTTAGGACCCAAGCCGGCAGCTGTAGCAAAGCAAAGGCCTCTGTCAACAACAGATTTTGGTAGCTCAGGAGTAGCTTCTGTCTTAATCTGTGCAGCATTTTCTGACCTAGTTGGATGCACATGCTCTCTTTCTTGTATGAAAGCAGAGGAATTCCTGTTTCATTAAATCTCTAGCTCTAAGATTCGCCTTAAAATTTCCAATGTTGATTTTAATAAATTCACAGGACCATAGTAAAACGCTTTTCTTTTYGCAAGCCAGTTCCTTTTCACCACCAAAATCCTTAAAAATAATGTTTATTATTAATTGTATRTTTTTTTCAAATAATATAGTCAGAGGGCCACAATTCTGTCTGGTGGTAACTACTGAGGACTGGAAAATTTTATTGCATATTAAATCATTTTAATTACAGACTAGTATCAGAATATCTGTTTTTCTTAGGTTTCTGCTTCAAGCATTGATTTGGGATACCCTTCTCTTAAAGAAATCAGAATTAACACTCACCATGTACCACTTTGTCTTTAATTAAAAAGTGCATTGCAATTAAAAAACATATTTAGACTATATAAGACTAAGCAGTTCAATTTTTGTGAATGCCTAACTATAATGACACATCTGAATTACACAACAGCTGTCAAAATTATCTGTGGTTCTCTACATCTGTATTCCCAAAGAATACAGATGTATTTGTACAGAAGTACAGATGTACAAATACATCTGTATACCTGAAGAATACAGATGTATTTGCACAGATTTGTTTTCCTCCCAGCTCCTTTGAAGGAATGTTTGTCTTTGAGGTTTATTCAAAGGTGGTATGTGCATGGGTGCCTATGTAGAAATGTTTTTTCCTATTAAACAGGTGCATGAATGTGAAACGGGTACCTTACCTTAGCTGAATTGTTTATGTGAAGGAGTTGCCCTTGTTCCACTGAGGTTCACAAGCTGCTGTTGCCAATACGGACCCTGGCTGGCCTTAAGCAGCTTGTCTTCCAGCCCGCAGCCTCCCTGGCTGCGRGTTTAACAGCGTGATTTGAATGCAACCTGTGCCTCTTGGGGCAATTCCATACGGCAGCACTTAAACTTTGGGAAGAGGGCTGCAGAGTTCCCTTGCAGGTCCCAGCTGACTTGGGCACGGGGGCGACTGCTTGCAGGTGGTGCCGACGCTGCGCACCCTGTGGCAGCGGGGCCAGCAGGTGATAGTCTCGTACGAAGAGGAGCTGCTAGTGAAGGAGCACTGCGAGCTGTGGCCTGCCATCCCGTACTGGTGGGGGAACAAAACGGCCACGCGGCGCCTTATCCGGTACCTGGAGCGCATGAAGCGGATCGGCCGGCCTGGTAGGTGCCCCGCGGGCGCTAGTGCGGTCTGGGCTGAAAGGAATGAGGTTCACGAGCTCTGCTGCTGCCCTCTGAGGTGAAGGCAAGGAGCGAGGGAGGGGAGAGCTGCTTCAAAGCAAACTCCTGCGATCCACAGGAAAATGCTCGTGTAGATGCACCTGGTGCTTCTGAGAGCTGCTCGTCTGCAAGTGTTCCTTATGAGAATATGCTTTATATAGGAAGATTAGTTAACAGGGACTGTATAGTTTGCAATGAATAGTTTAGACAGAGCTCAAACTGCAATGCTTCCATACTTGAGCTGTGTTTTCATGGCTATCAGGTAGGACATACAGCTCCAATGAAGAAAGACAGGCTACTGAAGTGACTCTGAATGCAGAAAGATCTTAGTTTTAATGATTCCCAGGGGAACTAGATCTGCAGATAGTGCAATACCAGGCAGCTAATAGTTTTGCCAAAGAAATATTTAATGTGTCACTCTCTGATTATTTCTTGTTGTTGTTTCAGAACGATTCTTTGTAGCAGGGATTAATCTTACTGAAAATTTACCGTATATTCTCGCACACCCATTTGGATCACTGAAGAAAATGACACTCCAGAATCTTCCGTACCTGAAAATCTGGGTAAAGCAACAGTATCCAGGAACAAAAAAAGAATGTATTAACATCATTGCTGGAGACTTCATAGGAAATAATGACTTTGTGAAAGATGTGATAGAACTTAACAAAAAAATTAATCCTCCATTAAACTGTTATGGCAAAGGAGCTGGAGGAAATACCGAGCCATTCTGAGCTGCTGCTTCTTTGAAAAGACCTTCTCTGCATTTAATGTTTCCTGCTTTAAACAATCCTGGACTACACAAAGGACCAATTAATTTAAATGAGGGATGTTTTCAAGACTCTGTAGGAGAGCTCAGTATCATCAGGGTTTAAAGACCTTTTCAGATAAAACTGGAGAGAGCAGGAAGACCTTCCTTAAGGTTCTAGAGAACTACAGTATAGATACAATTTATTGGAGGTGCTTAGCTTCTGCACCATCACTAATACTGACAGTCCCAAGAACTTAATCTGATTTTGATTTTACTTTTGAGCCAGACGGATAAGTACAATGTCAGTATGCATATGAATTATTCAGTGATCAGATTTTATTTCTCTTGCAACTTCAAATCATGTCAAAGATATTTTGCACATACTCACAAGCTCCATCTCTCACTATTTTATATTAGCACGAAACTATCTTGTCTGTTTTCAYAGTGTGTCTTAAATATATGAACAGTTAAAGAATCTTCCTGATATATTAAAGAGAGTTCACCAGCAATCCTATTTGAAATTATTTTTATACACATCAAGAGCATGGGAGGTCTAGGAACAGCTGTACTACTACTGTATGTTGAGTGTCAGTTGTGAGCCACTTTATCAAGGGRTAATCACAATATTCTTCATGATTTTATAAAAGATGCATATATTTAAAAAATATTTACTACTTTTTATACTTTCATGCTAGTACTAATCTAAAGCTACTAGAAGTAAGCAAGTCCCTAGACAGTTTTGACWGTTATTAGAAGCTGCCACCAAAAACAAACACCCATGAAACTAGTGCCCAATGTCCACAGAAAGGGCCTGCTCTATAAAAGCAGTTTCTTGGCTTTTGTCATGCTCTTTTGCGTTTTAGAACTGATTTTCAATGATGTATCTATTTTAGGAGCTCTACGGTTATTTTTCACCCCAATAAATGTTTATGCTTATGCAAAAACTAAGTGTTTTATACTGCTTGTTACTGSACAATAATTCTATTTTTCTGATTTTTTTTTAATGAACTGTGCAATAATAGATGATCATGAAGGTAAAAAACTACCAAGTGTCAGGAATAAAATGAAGCAGATGCTGCATAGAAGTTCACTGTACAGCTTCATCAATATACCTCACTTTTTAGATGCACTTTATATGTAAAAGCTGAGTTCAAATGTCTGCGAAGATGTCTGCATTTGCAGCAGATATTTGCACAAGTTTGAAATGAACTGTTACTTGATATTAAATAATCAACTTACCTTAAGCTTCTCAAAATGAAAGGCTAACATGCTACCTCCTCCTTCAATCACCCCCAGTTAAAGGCTACRTGGGAGTGAAAACCAAACTGGCTTTTAAAATGCTTTTATTTTCTTACAGGCTTCTTATCCTTTTTTCTCACCTCTATTTGCTTTATGCACGGCAGCCATTCAGTTTGTTTAAGAGTCACCACCTGCATGCAGTGCTTTGTTACGTATACTCAGAATGTATTTCTGTATATTTTCTGTACCTAAAGTGTCTTGTTACTTTACCTAATAAAGCTTGATCMATTATTTGTTCAATACAGACTTAAACATAGTTTTGTTTCTCATTTCTGTGGTACGAGTTGTTTTACTGTTTCCTTGAACCAGTAACTTAAAACTCAGGTAATGGATCAGATTTTGGTATTTCCTTTTGTGAAATATCACTTCAAATATTCTACCCTAAATGTTTTCTCCTCAAGAACTGCTACAGTAACAGGTTGCTGTATCCAAGAATACCATATGCATGAAAGATGATCACAGATAAGTTTATTTTTTGCTTTAACTATACAAATCTATATTTTCTGTGACAATAGTTAAGATATAGCAGCTTTATCTGAATATGTGTTAAACATATGCATGATTCATACATGAATCTATGACTATTTAAATATAGCCAATAATGTTTTCTTTTTTTTATAGCCAATAACGTCAACCTTCTTTTCCCAATCAGTTACTGAGACACTTATTACTGAGGTAAAAAATATTTTATTCTGAAAATGGGTCAATGTCAGTATATCAAAAACCTAAAGGAAAAAAATACATTCTTTGCAACATTTGGGCTATCAAGGCATTAAATTAATTCCAAATACTCTTAATGAGTTCAGTTTCCTTCTCCAGAAAAGGATGCAGTTTCATGGGATAAATAACTTGCTGTTAGGAAAGAGTTTTTTGTATTTACCTAAGGCAGAATTACTGATTATCACCTTCACACGAGCTGTGCCATCATCAGGAGCGACTTCTATATCCTGAACTGTTGCTTGTTTATATAGCCAACTGTAAAGATAAAAGCTTATCAGCATCTTTGAGGTATTCCACATTTTATAAAATATGATCTTTGTTTTAAGTCAACTAGAGTATATTTACACACATTCTAATATAGATAATTTATCTCTTTGAAAGATGGCATACTTCAATTAGCCTTTCTATTTGTTATTCCCTGTTCTGAAATAGGGCATCATGTTTTCATTGATCTTTCAGATTTGAGATTTTATCAGAAATTTGGCTATAGGGCCAATGAGATGGGCTTTTAGAAAGTTTATTTTGGTTCASTAATACAAGAACTCTGAAGGACACTTTCAGAAGCAGGCTCTACACTGTTTATGGGTCAACATTTTTTCTCAGTACATTAGAAAGCTTTGAAAAATATCTCTGTAACTCTTATCTCAGATTAAAGTAAGTATAATATATTTTGGTATTTTAAGACATGCAAGACTACAAGTTCCCTATTTGTCAAAGTCTTTTTTACATGTCCAAAATATTTACCTTAGCTGAGGTCCTTCTAAGTTGATCTTAACAGTCAGAATCTTCTTCCCGGTTGTTTTCAAAATTCTTTTCTCTATTTCTTCTTTCAGTTCTTCTAAACCATGCCCATGTAAAGCAGAAATGGCTAGAGCATTTTCTTCGGTGGATTTATACCTTAAAGGCAGAAATTGCCAATAGACTTGCTCACACTCCTAAAGATTAGAATGTTTTAATATTCCAAAGACAGACTACCTATACATTTTATATTGGTGCCTTATTATAGCAAACACTTCTATAACTCAAATGATTCCTTTTAAAACTGTAAGATGATGAATTTTTTTTATTTGCATATATAAAAGATTGATAAACACCATTAAGCATATAGTATACAAGCTACTTTCCAGACTAAGAATTAGAGAGTTTCCAGAATGTAAAAAAACTTAGGTAAACTTAGCACTTCCTGCTTACCTTTCTATCAAATCCACTTTGTTATGAACTTCTACCATTGACTCCAGTAAGTGGCTGGGTATATTAAGATTCTTCAGAACTGAGAGAACACTTGCTTTCTGAAGGACAGTTTCTGGATGAGTAATATCTCTCACATGAACTATCAGATCCTAGCAAGCATCAACATAGAAACAGTTAGCTAAGGAAGGATGCCGGTTACCGGATTTTGCGGACTTTGTATTATTTTTGTATAATTTTTGTAATAATTTCATGCAAGATACATTCCTAGCCTCTAGATAATACACTGACAGGTTGATATTGTCAAAGGAATGAACAAAACAGCATTAACCAGTACTAATTTTTATAATTATGATGTAATTTGTAGATGGTTTATTCTTTTACTCCCCAGTGAGTATGAATTGCCTCCAATGACTCAAAACAAGTCCTGTCTAGCAAGCTAATTAATTACATAATTTACCTATTTGAAATAGTAACTAATCTATTTTTTCCAAGTCAAGCTATGCAACAATAAGGTTTCAAAAATACTGGAGAAAAAAGAATAGCCCACACTCTAGAAAGTTTTTAAAGGAGTAATGGCTGAAAAATCTTTGCAAAACTAGTAAGAAAATAGATGCAATTTATAACTCCCTGATCAAAATGAAGAGGATTAGTTCTCCTTATCCTTAATCTTAGCTGTTGAGATCTATACTGCTACCAGTGCTTCACAGAGAAAGCTTCTACAAAAGTTATCCGTTTAACGTATACCTGCGATCAGAGATGTGGCAAACCCAAGTCAAATTAATTTTCCATGATTAAATAAAACAAGCATTCAAACTCAGTGTTTATATTCAAGGTGTGTCAGTATCTTTGCTTAAAATATTGCTGCAAATATCTGAAAACTGCACTGACAAGAGAATTTTTTKCCTTTAATTTTTACACTTTAGAGTAAGAGACAAACAGGATTGTTGGAGTCACCTTTGAAAGTCCCATGGTTAAAATTCAATTCTTAGAAGAATTCAACCACCACTGATTTCATCACCTCTAACAGAGGTCTTGCTGTTTAAATGTCTGTGTGTACATATGCARCTTTACACTTTATTTTGTGTACTTTCATGGGCAAATGACAAGAATAGCACATTAATGTGTGGGACCTGCATCACATACAATCACTCACTTCTGGTGCTGCATGAAACCTATGTAAAATGTGTATTCTTCCAGAGGCTTTCTTTTTTCCTCCAGAAAGCTAGCCWAAACAATGCACTGTCTAAGTTTTCTTATATGTAATCATCAGAATCTTATTTAGGTACTATGGAAAAGGACACATATACTCTGATTAAAACACTTCTAAAATATTTTCATATTTATCCATGCTGTATAATTTCAAGTGTCAGAAAAGTGGCTTATAAGAAGATACTTACCTAATATTTTTTATTTTAGTAAACTATTACAGTCAGAAAGGTATTCCAATTAATTTCCCCTTTTCTGAAGAAGTGAAGATTATCCAAAAGAAAGTAAATGAGTTCTCAATTTTTTATGTCAATTACTTACTGAGTAAGCAACTTCTTCTAACGTAGCTGAAAAGGACTCAACCAGGTTATGGGGAAGATCAGACAGAAACCCAATAGTGTCAACATAAATAACAGTCATATGTGAGGGCAGATAGCCAGCATGGGCTGTGATATCAAGTGTGGCAAATAGCTGATCTTTAGGTTGAAGTCCTGCTTCCCCAGTTAAGGCCTTGATCAAGGTAGTTTTACCTATTAAAAAAAAAAAAGTAATAAAAAGAAATATTAATGGCTTATTTCAATTGAAATTTTATTTTATAAGGCTCAGACAACTGTATTATACACTTCTTTTTTTATATACTCAGACAAGTGTATTATACACTTCTTTTTTTATATACTTTTCACCTCTAGTCCACCAATTTGAATCTAGCCTATGTTTAGTCTTCTATATGAAGTTATGAACTCAGAAGACTATTTTGRCTTTTGTAACTAGAAATTGGATTTAAGGTCATGTCTGGAAGCTATGCTGCCAAACCACAAGGTGATGAAAGAATTGGCATGGAAAATTACCTGTTTGCATGTCTCACTCCTAAGATTGACTGAAGAATGCTGCCATAATAGCATGAGAAAGCTTACATTGATGCACTCCTTAATGCATCTGTTCTGAAATAAATCATACTAACCTTTACTAGTTATATCCAACAAAAATCAACAGCACTAATTATATTTATTTTAGTAGTTTTAGGATTTTATTTGGTTCATCAAGAAGACAATGCTAGAGAAATGTAATTGCTTATGAATATTTCACACAACTTACAGTCTTAAACTAAGGTGGCTCCGTATATATTCTACTTCAGGAAGGAAATTCAAGGATATGTGCAAAATAACAACATGTTTAAATCTTTAGTTTTGAAAGCTTAGAATTTCCTAGCCATGTGATGGCTAAGAAAAGAATAAAGTGGAACTCAGCATCTACAACTATACAAGTGCTAATAAAATCAGTGCAAGGTATGCTTTTTTTTTAAGATGTTGAATAATAAAATGAAATAGTTTATAGTTTTAAGGTAATGGAACCAGACAAAGAGATTAGTTCAAAGTTAATTATGCCTTGTGTATGCCTTACTTTTGTAACCTGTAACAAATAAATAAAAAAAACTTTAACTTTTTATTTACATTGTTATGAACACTTCTCAAAACAATGTACGTTAGGCAGTGAAAAACTATGGTGCTTTCTAAGCACACTTCTCAGAGTAACTGCATCTTTCCTTTCCTTCCTATGCCTCAAAACCCTCTCCAGTTATCTAAAAACCCATGTACTTTATTCACTTTAAAGTAACAAAAATTTGTATTAATGGACATCACCCTTCTGAGCACTATGTAGAGAATCCTTTTGACACAACAGCAGCTCGCCAGTTCAACAAATCATGGCTTGAACATTGCAGAAAATCTTACTAGAACAACAAGCACCATTTGCTTTCCTAACAAGATCCCCATTGACATACATTCATTACACAGTCTAAAAACTAATTAAAACACAAAGCCTATTCACTATTCACACTGAAATGAGACTCTGGCAAGAGCTTCTAATTAAGAACGAGGTAATGCAGACTTTTTTGTTACAAACTTCATGAGCTTTTGCTTACCACAATTAGTATAGCCCATTACTGAGATAATCGGAAACTCGCGTCTTTTACGTTGACTTCTAAGTATAGACCTTTTTCTTCTTAGCTTCTCCAGGGCATTCCTAATTTTAAGTTCTTTTTCTTTCAAGAGACGATTCTGTGTCTCCATGAATGTCTCACCTGAAAAATACAAGCCAGTAATTGGCAGAGTATCTACAAAAGAAGCAAGAAATCAAGCAAAGTTGTGTAATTATCTGGAAACTAAGTTAGCAGCATGAAGTTATAAATATGCAACTACACCTATGTATTCTTACCTATGACAGAACCAAGAATGATTAAAAAAAAAAAAAAAAATTAAAAGAAACAGTAAATGTTCCAGAATAATCCTGTATACATTTGATTAGCTGTTATGGCAGTAAATATTTATTTTAAAATTATTAAAAACATCTTCTCTGTCCATGACTCACGCTCTGAGTTACAAAAACTTTATTCTGGTCATGTTTAAAGTTGCTTTCCAAAATACTCTCACTCAGTAAGATAAAGCACATAAACCATGTTTCCTCCTGGCCTCTTCCTGTTAGCAGGCCACACTGGAAAGTCCTCTAATTCACRAGAATATATTAATACTTTACCTGAGCCCATGATGTATCTTGATCCACCTCTCTGCTGATCTAACTGCGATACTTCATTTTTCAGATTTGACCTGGCAGTGGAGTAACATTTAGTTAGAAGCAATACTCTTTAATGAAGTTATCACAAAACACCTCATGAATCTGAAACAGTAGTGACGATCTAGTAGTACCTATGAAAACAACACAAAAGTCTAAATAAAACTTGCCCAAGGTTACAAGACTAGTGAAAAAATTCGTATTTCCCCATCTCCCCAAATGAAAATTAATGAATTATACAATTCTCTTAGCAAATTTTAATGGTTGTCCTGAAATTTCAGAGAGCTAAAGATGTCTTAGTTACAAGCATGCAACTCYCCCCAATTTCCATGTACAAATGTTAAGGACCTAGAGCATCTCATATARAAATGCAGAAAAACAGATATAACTAACAGCCTCTAATCCTCCTTGTCCATAGTTTTCATTATTAAACCTATGTRTATTATGTATGAAACAGACAATCATCTACAAATATGAATCCAATTCCTATATATTTTTACAACATGTCTTCCACATTGGAAAGAATCAGGACCTTTCTCTATAAAGCTGTATTTTCTAAGAAAATCTACTAAACGGTATGGGGTGGCAGGAGCTTAAAGCAATGACACGAAAACAMGTATTTCTATGTTCTAGTAATTTCTAATTACTGAGAGTATAATACAAACACCAAAACAGCAGCCTTTTTCTTTACAGCACATTATTACCACTCATTTTTGTAAAAAAAAAAGACACAATGGCAGTATCAGTATGTGATGGCACAGCTGAAGGTACCTGAGAAGCGGGATTTCAGCCAGTGCTATCTGAAGCTTTGCTTCCTTAGTCCGAGCATTGCAACGAAAAATATGAAGCACAACTGTGTATCTGTCAAAAACTTTCACACCCCAGGCATCTTCCAGTTCTTTCTTTAGCCATGCAAGACAAAACAACTTGAATGTTTTCTTCCCTGCAGCATCAGTAAATCATTACGTATACAGCACAGTATTTGTAGTTACAATTAGATTATGGAGACTTGAAATCAGATGATATCAGGATTTTTAAATGCTTCTGATACCTGACAAACTGCCTGAAAAGAACTAATGTTTGCTTGCAGGGTTTGCATTTTGCACCCGCGCATAATACTGCAGCTTCAGAGAAAGAAGATGTATTTTTCCAGTGCAACACCGCCAGTTATCTATTTAAAATATGTTGACTTTTTAAGGGTAATAAATCAAGGTGTATAAAAATTATTACAAAAAATATTATTACAAAAATTCAAATATCCTCAGTTATCCTCAGTTTGCAAAACACATAAACACACACACAACACATAAGCAACTTCTCCCAAATCTTATGTGAAGCTAATGGCAAAGGTGGGAATAGAATCTATATTAAATGGCTAACAGGCTTCTGTAAAACTGTATTTACTATAGCTGAATATATCACCAAACTAATCTAATCAGTATTATGTTTTCTCTCAACAAAATAAAACTCCAGATGGTACGTTCAGCTGGTACCCTTCAAAGTCATAACTGACCTTCCTTTTCATAACATCAGTATTTTTCCAAACACTATTGAGGTAAAGAATATAATTTGACATTATAACTAATTACCTTAGTTAATGAAGATATTCTTTCCACATTCAAGAAGACTGCTGTCAGATGGGGCAATTTTTTAATCTTTTCTAAAAGATGGATAACCATTACAAAATAGAGCGTTAAATATCAAATCTCTTTCTGAAATATCCAGAATATAAAACCACTCTGCACTGAAAACAGTGTAATAAAATATTAAATGGTATCATGTTTTTGTTCAAGATCTATTTGTACTGATTTACTGCAATATCTAAAACATCTGCCAGTTTCATGCAAGTCAATCACTTAAATACAGGTACGAAGTTGCCTACGAAGACCATGTGTTATTTCAATTCTGTGTACTTTTTGTAGCCTTCTGAGAAGTATCATTCAAGTCTGTTTCTAAAGATGCTTAATGCATAAGCAAATTTGTACTTCAGCTTTGGCACTGACCTTTGTATAATCACTTACAGAAGTTTTAGTATTTAGAATAATGCACTCCTTACCTGTCAAAACCTGAAAATTTCCTTTGCCAAAAATGAACTTCTTATCAGGAGTTTTTGTAGGAACAATTATTTTATCTAAAATTGTCCAGTTCTGAAGGGTATCTACAAGAGCAGCAGCTTCAGCAATCTGTAACTCAGCTTTAGGATTAGGAGGGGAAAAAAAAAAGATTATAATATACCATCATAACTTTTATACATAGATTTCTAGTAACTGTGATACATACATACACAGGAAAAGTCCTAAGCTACACTGAAATTCCAATAGCGTATATCCTTTAAATAGTAGTACAGGGCAGGAAATACTTGACTAGAGTAATTAAATCCTAGTTTTATGTAATTTTACCACATTTCCAGGGTGGCAAAATTGCCAAAATTTTGAATTGTGTAGTCAACACAGAAATTACCCAAATTTTTGCTTTAAGATTGTACTTTCTTGTTCAAAGTTAAACAAGTAATTAGTTGAAAACGCATATGCTATTATCTTAGATGAACACTGAATCACGTGAATCCATCCCTGCCTTGCAGCAGTATTTAAAGAATTCCTGCTACTGGATACCTTGCTGCACGCTTCACTACTGCTTATTCATAAAGAATCTACACGGAATTTTGACCTGTGAAAAAACTCAGCAAAATCCAACACTATACATTCAATATGTTGAATATATTAGATTTTTGTTATTATTAATCTATATGGAATAGCACTGATTAAAGAGGACATTGCCAGGTCAGAATATGGCCTTCTTTTCATTGCTGGTAATTATGCTCCTCTAGATATTAAAATATACTTGATGTATTAAATAATTACCTTGGTCCAAAAGGTAATATATTATTAAACAAACCATGATTCTCTTTCTCCTCATACTGCCAGCATTTTTTTTTTAAAGCACGCAATTTCTGTTGCATTTGAAGGGGTTCAAGAATTATTCCAAAACATTTGTTCAGACTTCAGGCTCTTCATCTGGAGGGTCTAAATAAACGGAAAGGGTCACTGCCACTCTGCATTTCTGCTCAGAAAACTACCTTCCCAGTTATGCTTTTTCTCTCCTTTTTCTTTTTTTTCCTCTCTCAGTTGTAAAATGGGAGCTTAGTGTGAAAGTATTCAAAAAATCCTGCTCAGTGAGTTTTGTTTCAGTATTCAATTAAATCCTTGAAAAGTTACAGGCTTTATTCTGCATAGTAACAATTTCTTAGATTTAGTAGCRGTAAGAGAACAAAATCTAGAATGAAATCTAGGTTTGAATATATGTGAAAATGAGGAGACGTGTCAAATATGAACTTAGTTGGCTATGTATACACATAGCTATGGGTATGTGTAAGCTTCAAGTAATTTGTTCTGATACAACCGTGCATCAGAACAGTGTTCAGAGAGGCATCATAAACCTCAAACACGCAGGGCAGGCGCAAGTGTCTCAGGCAGCTAGCTACAAAGGAACAGCGGGGCTAAAGGAAGCCCTGATAAAGGCACCGGGGGGGAGGGGGGGCGGATTTGCCCCCCAAGTAACAGCCCAAGATCCGCGTCCTCCCGGCGCCGCTGTGCGCGGCCGGCGCAGACCCCGCCGCGGCCACGCACCCGTGGTGAGCAGCGGCTTCCGCGGGCCCCACTTCACAGCCGGCTGCACCACGGCCACGCGCTGCGCGCCGGGGCCCGCCGCCAGCGGCGAGGGGCCCAGCAGCTCCTCCAGCTCCGCTTCATCTTCCTCCTCCTCCTCATCATCATCATGATCTTCATCATCATGATCTTCATCATCATGATCTTCATCATCACCATGGCCACCCCCGGCCCGCGGGGGCCGCCCCGTGCCCGGCGGCCGCGCGGGGGCCC